ACATAGCAGAAATGACCGCACTCCAAGGACTTTATAGAGATTTTCAAATAAAATTTAGCTTTTATTCAATCCATTTAAAAAGTCAGCGTTTCAGCTCCCACATGGAGCTTTCATCAGGACAAAACATGTTTTGTCCTGATGAAAGCTCCATGTGGGAGCTGAAACGCTGACTTTTTAAATGGATTGAATAAAAGCTAAATTTTATTTGAAAATCTCTATAAAGTCCTTGGAGTGCGGTCATTTCTGCTATGTCTACATGATCCTTGCCAGACCAGCACCGGGCACCACAGGATTACACCAGGAGTGCAAGCCTTCGCTATTTATATATATATATATATATATATATATATATATATACATATACACACACACACACACACACACACATCACAAAACATTCATACATACACACCACACACAGAATGTTAGCGATGAACATAGTAAAAACAACAATATTTTTCTGTATTTATGACTATGTTATATTATGGATATAGGAAACAGGTAGTTTGTAGACAGATGATAAAAAAATACAGTATGTTAAAAAAAATATCTAATTTTAGGAGGTAAAAATAGTCATGTAACTGACCAGCTACAATAAAATAAATGCAGAGACCTTGTTACAGGAGCCACAACATGTATTCCAGAATGTGCACTCTAGTGGGCTCTGTGCCTTAGAACCAGACTGCATGCCTCCATCATCTTTGCTAATTAGTTTATTTCAGAGCTGCCATCATGAGACGTTTAAATGTGTCCATATTGCATTTAGTCATGACAAATGCTTTGTTTTTCTTTTGGAGCCTTCCAGTTATGTCCAACACCATCATTCCTCTAGTTAGGGTTCCATTAAGCTCCACACTCACAGCACAATTTATAGCCTCAGTAACAAAGCTCTTATCTATAGCAGCAGCCATAGCATATGAATCACACGATACAAATCCTTTGTTAAAGTCTGCTCCGATAGCGCTGGAGCCAGTTTTGATAAACTCTGCAGCATGCGCAGAGATCTTTCTCATAAACTCTGCTTTCTTAGTTTCCTGCAGAATCCATTCGTCATAAAAAGTCTGAAACAAAAATGAGATCACTTCTGAAAAATGACTGATCACACACGGAGACAGTTATATACTGAATGCTTTCAGCATAATTTAAAGCAATTTAGCAAATTGTAAACAATTTAGCAAATTCCTCCCTTTTCAAATGCATTTGAACTGTGATTAAAATTAGTCAGAGTTGTTACTAATTTCACCCCCCAAAACAAAATTAATGAGAAAATATGCCATCTATGCTAATGATGGGGAGGAAGAGGAACTTGTTTTCATATTTTCATTTCCACTTGTCTCGTTTTTCTCTTTTTCGGCGCCTAAATACATTTAGCTGAATTTGTGTTTCCAAATTCTGTTACCTAATCCAAATTGAGTATCAGTAATAGTTTTCTATAAAGAATATGTAGATTGAGTATCTAATTTCCTTTCTATGATAATGAGAAAGCCCATGGGCACGTATAGGAAGCCTTAAAATGATGTATACATCAGTTGTGCAATGTGAATTCTCCGTTTCAGCATTTTTATTTTTTCCGTAATTCCTCTAGTCTTAATTTTGTGCTGTATGTTATGTAACAATAAGAATGACTACATTACCTAATAAACAATGTATTCAGACTGAAATTTGACTATTACTCACAACTGGAACTTTTGTCTTCAAATTGTAGAAGTTGACTTACTCATGACCACAATGAAACTACACAAAATGCTGCCAGCAATAATATTTTAGGAGAAGGACAAAAAGCAGCCAATTACTCTTCTTTATTCCTTACTTTTTAGTAGTTACACCCCCAATAAGCAGGCATGGGAGTGCACACTGTTTGAAAGTTTGCAATTTACATTGAATTCCAGACAATCACACTGTATTGAATAACTCTATGTGAGATTTTCAAAACACAATTTCCCCCCCATTAATATATAATTGTTTTGTGAAATTTCTAATCTATTTCTGGAAAATGAATACAATTATAAACTGCCTTTCTGTATCTATATATTCTTGACCTATGCAGATGCCCAAATAACCCTGTCTAATGATTATCAGATAAGATCTCAAATGGAGTTATACAGATCTTTGGGGCCGGCTTGGACTGCCAATTAGAAAAATAATTGGCTGCTCCAGTTTAAATAATTTTAGTTGGTGGCTTTTAAAATTTTTAAGCACAATAAATAGATTAGCAGAACATACAAGTTACAACAACAAAGATTTAAATCAGGTGTAGTTTTCTGTATGCATTATTTTATTTAAAGAATAATGTAAAATATTTCTTACCCAAGAGAGGTAGTTATTACAAGTGAATTCCCATGTGGCGATGTACGTAGGGCAATCATAGACATTCAGGACAATGTAGGCGGCTTCTGGATCACTCGTAAAGTTGAATTCTCCGCAAGCGGTCACATTCCCCCTGGCTTAATATAAACAGATGTTTATACGGAACATTTATTTATGAAAATAGCAGAAACTATTACTATATTCTCTAAATACATTTTAAAGACAAGATATTTGCATGCCTATGCATATATATATATATATATATATATATATATATATATATATATAAAAAAAGATGAAATGAATTGACATTGTATCAAAGCATGAGAGCTATACTAGAAAGGGTGCATTAGAACATTCCCAACTTACATTCCATGTTTCCCCCCATGATAAAGAGATTTTTAATCTTCTGTGGGAAGGTTGGATCCATTTTCACAGCTAAAGCCAGATTAGTCAAAGGACCTGTTGCAACAAGGGAAACCTAGAGCACAAGCAAACAATTACAATTTTTTTGTCTACTGGTTCTTTTAGTGTCCCTTTAACCCTTCTCCCTCCACATAGT